TTAGCTGGGTGTGGTAGTGTGCGCCTGTAATCCCAGCTACTTGGGAAGCTGAGACAGGAGAATTTCCTGAACCCTTGAGACGGAGATTGCAGTGAGCTGAGATCTCACCACTGCACTCCAGCCTGGTGACAGAGCAAGACTCCATCTCAAAAAAAGAAAAAAAAAAAAAAAGGAAATGATTCAGATGCTGCCCCAGGATAACTTTCTTATCTCATATTCTGACCTTTTTTTTGTATGTTTTCTTTAAAAAAAAAAAAAGTACATAGGCTAGGCACGGTCTCACACCTGTAATCCCAGCACTTCAAGAGGTCAAGACAGGTACATCACTTGATGCCAGGAGTTTGAGACCAGTCTGGGTAACATGGTGAAATCCCATCTTTACTAAAAATACAAAAATTAACTGGGTGTGGTGGCACGTGCTTGTAATCTCAGCTATGTGGGAGGCTGAGGTGGGAGGAACACTTGAGCCCTGGAGGTGGAGGTTGCAGTGAGCTGTGATTGTGCCACTGCACTCCAGTCTGGGCAACAGAGGAAAACTTCATCTCAAAAACAAACAAAACAAAACAAGGCCAAAACAGACATGAATACCAAGAATTCTGACTTGCTTGCTTCTCTATTACAGATCTAGAATCTAATTTTAAAAGTGGCAGCTATGAGGAATATCCAGTTATAGGGTCAGGCAGCCTTGGTCATAAAGAAGTGAAATAGCCTGGGATTTCCTGACTAACGCAGAAACCCTCTGGAATTCCTAAAAGGATCAGGCAGCCACAATGCTACACTGGGGCAAAGGCTCAGGATCGGAGATCCCGCTTCCCCTGGCAATTTGAATTACTGTAGCAACTGGACATTAAAGATTCTTTAATTAGAGAATTCTTCAATTTCAGGTCAATGAAGTTCCCTTTTAGTGTGTTCATTTATAAAATTTTCTGTACATCCACAGTGTCCCACTAATTGGAATACGTGAGTGAAGAAAAACAACATTCCCTTTTCTCCTGGAGCTGAAATGCTAGTGGTAATGATAGAAGATTAAGTGGCAATAAATAATTACATGAAATTATAAAGCAAAAATATATATTACTGCTATGAAAAAGTAGTATGAGTAACTGCAAGAATGAAAATGGGTGGACTGGGTTGCTATGACTTGAATGTACTGTCAAGTTTGGCCTCCTTGAGAGGCTGACATTTTGGCAGAGAAAGGAAGTGGGGAAGTTGAGATATGTGGATGTTTGGACAAATAAATATTTAGTCGAAGAGAATTTCTAATAAAACAACCTGAAGGCAGAAGCATGCCCGGCATGTACAGAGGCCAGAGTGGAGAGACGGGAATGGGTGAAGGAGTGAAAGGGATAGGGAAGAATTCTGGGGTTTTACTCTAGAGGCTGAGGGTTCTGCGGTATCTGCCTGGCACAGGGAATATTCAATGATATCTCTCCTATGGATCCTGCTTTGAGCTGCTCAGTCTGCCGAAGCAATTAGCTCAAAGTAAAGTGCACTAAAGAATGTCTCTTCAGGCCAGGTGCAGTGGCTCATGCCTGTAATCACAGCACTTTGGGATTCATGAGGGCAGATCACGAGGTCAAGAGATCGAGACTATCCCAGCCAACATACTGAAACCCCTATGCTTTCGATTTCTTCAAAAATCTTTGTCCACACTAATGTCCTGTAGCATTTCCCCAATGCTTTCTTCTATCAGTTTCATAGTTTCAGGAATTGTATTAAAGCGTTTAATCCATCTTGAGTTGATTTTTGTATATGATGAAAGACAGGAATCTATTTTCATTTCTCTGCATATGGATGCTCCATTTCCCAGAACTATTTATTGAAGACATTGTCTTTTCCCCAGTTTATGTTCTTGGGGTCATTTTTGAAAATCAGTTAGCTGTGAATACGTGGATTTATTTCTGAGTGCTTTATCTGTTACACTGGTTTTCATGTTTTGTTTTTTCTTTCTGCCGATACCATGCCTTTTTTGTCACTGTTACTATAGCTTTGTAGTATATTTTGAAGTAAGGTAGTGTGAAGCTTCCAGGTTTCTGTTTGTTCTTTTTGTTCAAGATTGCTTTGACTATTATGTGTCTTTTGTAATTCCATGTGAATTTAAGGATTGTTTTTTCTATTTCTTTCAAAAAAACGTCATGGACATTTGAGAAGGATTGCATTGAATCAATTGATTGCTGTGGGTGATATGGTCATTTTAACAATATTAATTTTTCCAATCCATGAACATAAGACATCCTTCCATCTTTCTGTATCCACTCTCATTTCTTTCATCAGAGTAATGCAATTTTCATTTTATAGACCTTTCACTTCCTTTGTTAAATTTATTCCTAGGCATTTTTGGTGGCTATTTTAAACGGGATTGCTTTCTTGATTTATTTTCCAGGTGGCTCAGTATTGATGTATAGAAATGCTACCAATTTTGCACATTTATTTTATATCCTGTGACTTTACTTGTTCATTTATCAGTTCATAGAGTGTTTTGGTGGAATCTTTAGGTTTTTTTTACTAAGTATGATCATGTCATCTGCAAGCAGGGATAATCTAGCTTCTTTCTTTACATTTGGGATGTTTTTATTTCTTTCTCTTACCTCAGTGCTCTGGCTAGGGCTTCCAGTATTATGTCAAATAGAAGTGGTGAGGGTGGGCATTCTTGTCTTTTTCCAAATCCTAGAGAGAAAGCTTTCAGTTTTTCTCTATTCTGTATGATGTTAGCTGTGGGTTTGTCACATATGGGCTTTATACATTGAGGTATATACATTCTCTACCTAATTCGTTGAGAATTTTCATTGTGAAAGGATGCTGAATTTTGTGAAATTTTTTATGTGTCTATTGAAATGATCATATGGTTTTTGTCTTTCTTTCTGTTAATGTGATGTATTACATTTATTGCTTTGCATACGTTGAACCATCCTTGCATCCCTGGAATGAATCTCATTTTGATCATAGTAAATGATCTTTTTAGTGCGCTGTTGAATTTGGTTTGCTAGCATTTTTAGGGGACTTTTGCACCTATGTTCATTGAGGATTTTGGCCTGTAGTTTTCTCTTTTCTTCATGTTCTAGTCTTGTGTTCATATTGGTATAATGCTAGCCTTATGGAATGATTTTAGAAAAATTCTCTCTTCAATTTTCTGAAATAGCTTGAGAAGAATTAGTGTTAGTTCTTCTTTAAGTATTTGGTAGACTTCATCAGTAATTCCATCTATCACTGGGCTTTTCTTTGTTGTGAAACTTTTTAGAGCTGCTTCAATCTAATTACTCCTTATTGGTCTATTCAGGGTTTCTGTTTGATCTTGGTTCAATCTCGGTATGTTGCATGTGTCCAGAAATTTATTCATTTCCTCTAGGTTTTCCATTTGTTGGTGTGTTGTTGTTCATAATAGTCTCTTATGATGCTTTGTATCTCTGTGATATCAGTTGTAATAAATCTTTTATCAATTTTGATTTTATTTGAGTCTTCTCTCAAAAACCTCACCTTTATTTCATTAATCTTTTGTAACACTTTTTCGTTTTTATTTTATTTGTTTCTGCTCTATCTTTATTATTTCTTTCCTTACACTAATTTTGGGTTTGGTTTGTTTTTGCTTTGCCAGTTCTTCGGGATGCATATAAAGCTCTTCATTTAAAGTTGTTTTTGTTTTATGCAGGCATTTATTGCCAAAAAAACCCAAAACGAAACAAAGCAAAAAAGCCTTTTCTCTCACTATTGTTTTTGCTGTGCTCTATACGTTTTGATATCTTGTATTTCTATTTTTATTTGTTTCAAGAAATTTTTAATTTTTTAGTTTTAATTTTTTCTATTTCTTAATTGACCCATTGATCATTCAGGAGCATATTGTTTAATTTCCACATATTTGCACAGATTCTAAAGTTTTTTAAAAATTATTTATTGATTTCTAGTTTTATTTCATTGCTGTAAGAAAATATACTTGGTATGGTTTTGAGTTTTAAAATTTGTTGAGACTTGCTTGTGGTCTAATATATGGTCTGTAATATTTGATGTGCTGATGAGACAAATGTGTATCTTCTGCAGCTGGTGGATAAAATATTCAACTTTAATGTTTTACGTACAGAAGTATGTAAACATGAGTGTGTGCTCATGCATGTGTGTGTAGAGAGGGAAGAGTGTGTTTGTACTTTTTTGAGAGCTTATGTTTGTATGGGAAGGAGACTGATGGTCACCTCTCTTAGGCTTCTTCTGGGGCAGATGGTGTGGATTCAACTCTCCTTCCTGCCACGGCAACAGGCACCTTCACAGTGGGCACTCGATGAAAAAAACTAGGACTAAGATGGTTAAGTTAGAGCGGGGGAGAGAGAGAGAGAGAAAGAGAAAGAAGGAGAGAGAGGAAGGGAGAGAGAGAGAAAGAGAGAGAGAAGGGAGTGTATGTGTGTGTATGTCAGTGTTGGGTGGTTTGGGAGATCCAAATGTGTGAAGTGGTGTGTGTGTGTGAGATCTACGTGTGTGTGTCTGTGTATGGGAGTATTTCCTTGTGTGTGAGTGTGTGAGTGGATGTGTGTTTGTGGGTATGAGTGTGAGTGTTGAAGTGCTTGGCTCCATGTGTTGGGGGGGACTCAGAAAGGGAAGATGAGTGCAGAACAGATCACTAGGCTGGACTATGCACACACATTATTTCTCTGTAATCATTTTTAAAAAGGAATCCACTAAACAAAATGAAGATGATGATGGTTTGAAGCAGGTACTATCTACACCCAAGTGTGACTCACTGTAGATCATTAAGATATAAATGTTAGGATGAAAATTAAAAGCCTTGCTCTAGCTGTGCCTACCCAAAGTAACAGATTGGTTGGATGGTCCTCAATGTGCTCCCATTGCCAGCCCAGGAGTGTCCCGTGTGTACAGCAGCTATACACATTCACACACATTCTCAGTGTCGGGATTGGGCACCTTCCGACTACAGACCTCACAACCAGCCCTCAGAGTGTTCGTTCCGGTTCACTCTGAGAAAGCAACAGAGATTTAATCAACCAGTGACACACACAGTCAGTTAAAAGTTATTTATTGAGGGAAGACCAGGGATGGTTCACTTGTTCCCTCCCCAAATCCCTTCTCAAATGCACCCTGAGCAATCAGAAAACTAGCTCAGTCAGTGAGACTTTCAGCCTTGCTCAGAGGCTCAGGAGCCCTCCAGATTGAGGGTAAGGGACATCTTTTTAGAGGTGCAAAGGAGGGATTATGATTCAGGGTGACAGCATGCTAACTGCAGGGTCAATAGGCAAATGGGACTCATAAGCAGAATGGGGTAGGGTGTTTGGTATCCAGAGGCCGGCTCCTCCAGGGCATGGCTGGGGACCACATTACTTCTGCTTGGTCTTCTGCTGGGCTGGTGCTGGAGTGACTGTTGAAGGGCAGGGCTCAGGCAGCTTGGTGGGGCAGGGCTCTGGAACCTTGGGCTGGCAGGGCTCAGGCACTTTGGGGTGGCAAGGCTCCTTGGGGTGGCAAGGCTCCTTGGGGTGGCAAGGCTCCTTGGTTTTGGGAACGCATGGTTCCTGGGGTGGAGGCTGGCAAGGCTGTTTCACGTGCTGCTGCTGGAGCTGAGGGGGTGGGGCACAGGGCTGCTTCTGCTGCTGGGAATTCATATTTCAATTGTGTTTTTTTCTAGAGACAAAAAGTTGACACAGTGATTCAATTAAAGCAACATGGATACAAATTCAATGCCATGTAGATTTCATTTCAGGCCCTTCTAGAAGAGAAAGCCTTTCGTCTCCCCTAGCTCCCCCACTACATTTAAAAGTGAAATAAGCTTTGATAATTTTCAGGTCCTTTTAAGAGAAGGAGCTTTAAAGGCAATTTCTTCTGCTCCATTTCATTGGAGTCATTTTCTTGGCTCCCTTCCTACCCAAAGCCCCTTATATCTCTTCCAGAAAAATACCCTAAGAAAGCTGGCTTCTGAGGGATGTGAGGCGGGCCCACATATTAGGTCTTTTGGAAAGTGGCATCAGACCCCTGCAGTCTGTCCTCTCCTAGTACCGTGTAAAAAGCCCGCAACTTATAGGATGGCTTTATATCAATCTAAGCCCCTACGGTTTTGCTTCTCGTCATTGCTTACACAGTCCCTTCTGAATGCTTTTCTTCCCATCTCTGCTTGTCCAAATCCTCACCCATCACAGCTCACATCACTTGCCAACCCCCTAGGAGGCTGTTCTTGAGCAAGGTTCCCCGAAAGTGCACAGCCCTTCCCTGTCCCTCTCCCTCATACCGATTACCAACTATTTTGTATTTCATTTATTAATGTGCATGTATTACCTTCCTGCTAGGTTTTATGTTTGTTAAGTAAGTTCGTTAGGCATTGATTTTTCCAAAGTGCCTAGCGTACTGCCTTAAATGGAATAAATGCTCAGTAGAGATGCATCCAATAAATTAAGATTTCTATAAATAGCCTATCAGGGGAAATTGTGGTGTTACTGAGAGTGCTCTGGGCCTGAGCCCTAGTTCTGTTATGAACTTCTCATGGGTGCTTGAACAGTCTCCTCCCGGACTCCCAGGTCAATGACTATTTATTGAGGTGGCAGCCCTAATCCTATCTCTAAGGTCCCTTCAAATCCAAACTGTAATTTAACTTAAAGATATTCCACTGTTCTCTAACTCCCACTGAAACCCTGCATTAACCCTCTTACACATGCTTGACTTTGGCTAATTTCTAATAATGAAAAAATAAACTAGAATTCCCAATTTGTGGCAATCAGAGACTCACCTGGTTTACAGAGCAGACTGGGCTGTGTGGTCCCTTGGGTTTGGTGTGAAGGCAATAGCCAGCTGGCTTTTATAAGATGAATGGGCCCTGCCTCAAGGAAATAGAAGCTCCTGGGCGCTCTGTTTTCATTCCTCACCTGTCACACATGATTCACACTACCGTCCTCATCACCCGTTGGCTCAGCTTTTGTGATGAATACCACCTGATATTTTTTGGCACTCGCTGTCTAACAATGATGTCACCAGCCTAGTACTCACTGCCACCCTCGCCCTCAGACCCAGGTGCAGGGTTTGCCTTGAGGGAGAGATGAGCAGCAGGCTTCTGGGAGGGTTTGATGAGTTAATCCTGGGAGGAGATCCGAGTCCTATCGAGGCCTTGCCTCCTGCTGTCCTTGTCACTGAGATGGTTGTTTCCCCCATGTTCTGTGGGACAGAGCACTCTTGCACACATGAACAGGTGGGAAAGGGTGGGAGAGCAGAGGAGCTGAGGTGGGTACTCTTTGTCTGCCTTAGCGAAGGTGGAAGTTAGAAATAACGAAATTGACTGATTATAGACCCCTTGTCTCAGAGTCCAAGACCATTTCCCCCATCCTTTCCCAATTCCATTAAACTACACACATTCAGAATAATTTATTTATGACTCTCCTCCCCTCCCCTCCCTCCCGCTGACTGGTTGCTGACCTGGGAAAACCTGCTTTGCTTTCACCAACACACCTTTACCTTCTCCTACTGCAGGGACTTTCAGGGGCTACTCCCTCTTCTGGGATCACCTTTTCCCTCCACTCCACCCAGACATCTGGCCCTGGCCTTTTCCTCCTCTTTAATCAGACTAGACTGCCTCCCACCTGAAAACCCAAAAGCCTTTTCTACCTGCCTCCCCGCAGCCCATCCATGGAGTCCTCAATGCTGAATCCTTCTCACCTTTTGCCCACTTCTAGCTCCAGCCTCAATACGTAGAGATCCTGCTGGCTGCAAGGTTTTCCTCTTCCCTCTGGCTCTGTATCTCCTGGGGGCCTTCTGAGGGTCAGAGCTGTTCCTGCTCAAACTGATGGTGTCCCCAGAGCAGGGTTTGTTTCCTCATTTATTCAACAAATCTCAGGGGGGAGCCTAACATATGCCAGCCGTGCCTGTCATTCCAGGAGCTCTCTGACGAGGAGTCTCACTTTCCCCCTACAGACCACGGACTCTCCAGGGTGAGAGGCACTGTGCAGTTCAGAGCCACTGAGACTGTGGATCTCAGAGAGGCCTTAGTCCGCACCCTACAGACCACGGACTCTCCAGGGTGAGAGGCACTGTGCAGTTCAGAGCCACTGAGACTGTGAATCTCAGAGAGCCTTTAGTCCGCACTCCTCAAGGGATGATTGGGGCATCTGAGGCCACAAGACATGAAAAAACTCACCAAGGTTTAAAAAAAACAAACCCCAGGAGGAAAAGAATTCTACACAGAAATCCCGTGTTACCCCTGGTTTTGATTCCCTGAGACTCCCTAATGTCTATGGAGGAAATTAAGCCCAGGCAGAAAATTGATTAGAGGTGGAAAGGGGAGTCCTTCCTGGCTGAGAGCTGGGTCACTCGCAGTTCTGGAAAGTTGTGAGGAGTGTCAGGGTGAGCACAAAGAAAGATGCTTGCCTTGTGGGTGAGCCTTAATCGGTGTGAAGATAAATCCCTTTAAGTAGAAATAAAGATGCTTAATATTTGAATGACTCTAAACAGTGGGTGTTTCTGGCTCTGCTAAGGTAGGAAGGGCGTGAATTAGAATTGGTGGAAATAAGCTTCGGTTTATCCTCACTCAGGGACCAGGGTCAGAGAGAGGAAGGGAAAAGCCAAAACACTAAAATGCCTGCTTCAAACACGAGTTGTTTTCACTCTAGAAGAACTGGAGTGACACCGTGACATGGCTGAAGTGAAGGCACTGGGGCCGGCAGCAGGTGATCAGCCCCCTAGTGTACATGCCCTGGCTCTCCTTCTCTCCATGATGGTTGGATTCTGAAGAGTCTCCCTGCCAAGGAACTTCTCTTTCCTGGGGACACAAGAACAGGGGTTCCCTCAGTCCTTCCATCAGCAATTCCCATGAAACTGAGTTCCCTGATGCGGAGCTGCACTCAAGACACAAACTGTTACTAGGCGTGGCCTTTGGAAAATCCAAATCATTCTTAAAACTCAGGTGTGCAGATGGTTCCTCCTCCTCCTCATCTAACCCCTCCTATACCCAAACACACACCTAAGTGTTTGTGGAGCACCTGCCAGCTCCACAGCTGGTGAACTTGAGGCCAAAGTCAGCCTCCCGCTGTGTCCACACAGTCATTAGTCCCTATCCATCTCCATCCTCACACAGTGCCTGGCGTGCGGAAGCTGCTCGGTGGCTGGCAATCACAGACTGACTGCCTGCCTGCCTGGCTGGCTGGCTGGCTGGCTGGCTGGCTGAATAAATGAATGAATGAATGGTGTTATTTGGAAAGACAGGCTCAGAATCTACTTTGAGAGCTGCCTAGAAGCTCCAGTATGGAGTGTACCCACTGCCCTCCCCACCCATCTGCTTCATTGTCAGTTTAATGTCCCACCCAAGCCTGAGCTCCAAGCCTCTTGCTTCGCTTGGTTCTCCTCTAGGTTCATGTCCAGGTCCCCTTCTTCACCAAATCCCCACCCAGGAGCTCTGACAGTGGGGCTGCTGGCACCTGCTGCTATGTCTGGTAGGATTATCAGCCATGGAGGAGCCAGCTGCCTGCAGCCTCTGTCCTCTGGTGTCACCCAGCTTGTCTCAGGCCCCGGATGATCTGAGACCAGCTCTGAAGCTGGTGTGTTCTCATGCCCTCCCTGGAGCTTAGCTCTGGATGCAAAGGAATTTCCCTATCCCTGGATATCAGCTCCTGACCAGAGAGTCCTGCCTGCCTCAACATGTGCTTCCTTTACTCTACTCAGGCCTGCTCAGGCTCCAGACTCTGGAACTTTCTCTTGGTCTCTGACTTTCTTCTTCCTATGTGTCTGAAGCTTCCACAGTGAATAGTGTTAATCTTCCCTTAGAAGCTTCATTTCTCTGCCACCAGGGTTGGGTGAGCTGTTGAATCAGGCCCCACAAACTCCCACATAAAGACAGGGGAAACTGGGTAACTTGCAACAGTAAGTACAGCTCCCCGGATTTCCCAGCCTTAGGGTACAGGAGCCGCTGCTCTTCTGACATTGAAAACTTCCTCTCATTTGTCCCTGGAACTTCCATTGACTCTGAGCATTGCCTCAGCTTCGTCATTCTCCGAACAGGGAAGACGGATGGCTCTAAATCTAATCTGTGATCAGGCTATTCCCAGCATAGATTACTCTCTCCTTCCCACTTCCCTGAAGCCCAGGCCCTGCAAAGAAGGTCATGCAGAATTTCAGCTCCAGGCCTTTTCCTGCAGTGGTTGTGTATTTTACGCAAGGTAACATTTAGAAACACGCAGTATGAAGAGTTTTACCTTCCTCTTGAGAAGCTAGAGAGACCCCAGAGTGTCAGCTGCTCAATTCCGGCCATAATAATAATGATTAAAAAAAAGTCTCTCTAACACACAAGGTCTTCACCTGAGAAAGGGCAGGTAAAGGGAAAACACCAGGTCCCAGGTGGTAGGAGCCTCCTGAACATTTTGGTCCAGCAGGGAAGAAAAGCTAACGCTGCAAATGTGGATGCACAGGTGGAGGGAGGACATGAAATAATAGCACCAGAGAGCCTCTGCTTAGCCCCTCATCCCATAGAGAGGGAAGGAACTGGTGAGGAGGAGGAAGGAACTTATTCTAGGCTTCACAGTCTCTTTTGTGGCCAAATCAGAACAAAACCTGGGATGCCCTCTTCCCTTTCCCTTCTACCATCTCTCTAAGAACAGAGCATGCCCCTCACACTCACTCTTTTTATTTCTAGTCCTTGAAGGGATAGATAAAAATTTAAACCTGGCTTCTCTTGCTTGAGGGATGTAGAAATAAAAGGACCCAGGCTTCATGTCTGGCCCAGTTGTTTCAAAGCCTTGCCATGCCCTTATTGGTTGGATGACCTTGGGCAAATCGCCTGACCTTTCTGCACCTTAGTGTCCTCATCTTTAAAAGGAGAAATTTACATTATACTTCACAAGGTTGCTATAAGATTAAATGCAATGATGCTTCTAACACTTTAGGACAAATGAGCTAAATATGTCTAATATAATTCCTGCTAGTCTGTCTCATTCTCTCCTCTCCTTCCACTTGAAATCAGATGGGAAACTTCTTCCTTTTGACTGTGAGTTTCCTTTTTTCTTTCTTACTCTGTGTGTGTGTATGAGAGAGAGAGAGAGAAGGAGAGGAGAGAGGAGAGAGGAGAGAAGGGAGAGGGAGAGAGGGAGAGAGCACCCAAGGACAGGGCATACTTCTTCAGTGGAGCAGCATTCTTGGTCTTCGTGATTGCTGTATCTCCCTTCATATTTTTACATGTCAGTTTTAGGGTTACATATTTACCAAATTATACCTTGAGTTATTGAACAGTGACGATGACGACACAGTTCGTGTTTTATAAGTGTTGGGGCATGAGAGATAGCTAAAGTTATTGGTGATTATACAGAAACCTGGACATGCCTTAGATAAGGGAACTGAGGCAGAAAAATGTTGAGTGACTCTCCCAACATGTCCTAAAGGTCTGATGTGCTAGGATACAGTCCCTTGAGAACTGTGTTGAATTGCTTCTCAAGACTAGTGGGACACTGTATAAACCAGAGGGTGACTCTTAGAAGAGACACTGACTGGATCCCTACAATCTCACACATCTGAGCTGGTCGACTGTCTATGTTCCACTACAGATAGAGCTTCTCTGAGTATAAACGATCAAAACACACAGACATATTTTAAAATGGAAAGTACTGGAATCCGGGACGGTTCAGACTGATGTGTTCTCCCTCCTATCACTCATTGCCTTCTGTGCTGTAGAGGGGGACAGAGGAACAAGTGCATGGCTAAAAATTTTCTATGGAGAATCTAAACCCCACTGGAGGTGGCTGCTGTTTGTGTAGTTGTCAGTCCCTTCTGTTTGCTCAACTGCACGTGCTTTGTCTCTGGTCCACCTCTGACAGCACATCCTCCAGAGAGCAGAGTGAACTCTGCAGATTACAGGTTTGAAAC